CCATCACAGGACACACACACACCCTGGACAGGACGCCATTCCATCACAGGACACACACACACACCCTGGCTGAGATGCCAGTCCATCTCAGGCCACATACACACACTCTGGCTGAGATGCCAGTACATCGTAGGGCACAAACACACCCCTGGGATGGAACACCAGTATGTTGCAGGGTACACACACAAGCACAGAGGGAATGACACTGAAGTCATGTGTTCAAGCTCTTGAGCTGCTACAGACAGCCCCCCCGATGCTGCACCCCGGAACACTGCCTCTCGTTGACACCTGGCCCAGCACTCCCGCCCTCACACTTTTCACGAAAGCCCAAGGAGCGAGGGATAGGAAAAGATGAGAAAGCTCGGTCACCACCCCCTTATGTCAACATTACCGCTAGTGTCCCCTGGAGAGCTTAAAATGGCTTCCTTTTTGTATTTTCAAAAGACTTGGGCATGCCAGGGATCCTGGGCTGCCCTTCAAAATAAATACGCCTGACAAGAAAAGAAGGGAAGAAAAAGAAAGGAGGGAGATGAGGTAGAACAAACAGACGGATTTCCCTGGGATGTTTAAGTCTTTACTCTGCGCAGCGGTGCACAAAGGCTTCTCCTTTTTCATCTCTCCCTCTCTCCCCTGCCGCTCTCCTTGCCAGGTCTCTGTTGCTTGGCTGTGTTTGGCTTTTACAAAGCGTGCTGAAAACATCCAATCTCCAACCCACACAGACCTCCACAGAAGACAAGATCAGTGGCATTTCACTGCGTTTGTGGTTCTGTGCGTCAGACTGGACAGGTACCACACTCCTATTTTACTTCAGCCTCATACTGTTTCTCCTGAGCTTGTCTTAGAGACCTCAGTAGTTGGAAATTACTTGGAATCTAGAGCTTACTGTATATGATCTCTCACATTAAGGTCACAGTGTGACACAGCAGTTAAGACTGTGGTCTCCACACCTGAGGGTCACAGGTTCATTTCCAAGGTGGAAACAGTCCTTTTGTAGCATGCACCAAGACAGTTTTCCCAGAATGCTCCACCAGATATTGATGTGTAAATATATATACAGCGTAAAGTTAATGACAGGAAGCTTCTGTTACTCAGTTTGGCTATCTATCTGCTGGATAAATACATACTAATAAAAATGAGAAGTGTCTTGCATTGTATATGCAACATACAAAATACAGGCTCTCTAACTTTCCACTCTTTCCTCCCTCACTGTTGCTGATCACTGATTCACTGATTCAGTGAATGAAAGACCCAGTCAAGGAATTTCAGGGATCAATTAGCCCCTTTTATGTAATTGTTTACCAAAAACAAACAATTTTGTGCAAGGCAAGGTATGATCTTCGTATACTGAAAATGGCAAGAGTACTGCTCTGTGAAGCAACATCTGAAAGGACGTTGAGTTGTGTTGAGTGGTGTTGAGTGCTTGGATGGGAGGACAATTTCACAGAAAGACCAAAAGGGATATTGTAGAATTGGGAAAGGCAGAATTCAATTTTCTAATTGAGGATTCACAAAGTTCCAATGACTTGAATGCGTGGGAGGAAGAGCAAGGGAGGAAGATTTGTTTGATTATTAAAAAGTTAACAGCACAATGACTAACAATCTAACTTCAGGCCTGTTCAGTGGATGTTTGATAGAAATGAAATGGGATCTAAGCTGAAATTCAGTTTCTAGATTCGTGCTCCTGGTGGTGTGATGTGCCCTGACTCTTCTGAAGCAGTACCTTGTCCTTGGCTTCACTCAGCTGTTCCTCGAGCTCGGAGAAGCTGAAGCTGGCCACTGTGATGAAGTCGCTGACCACCAGCACAAACTTGTCCCCAAGTTCCTGGATTCTGCTTTGCTGATAATGCAGTTCCTGAGGACAACACCAGGGGGCACCAAGTTAAAGAAAGCTCAAAATTTCTTAACATGTAAAAGACTAACATAACATAAAAGAGGAAATCTGATTTATATATTTAAACATCAATCATGGACTGACAGTAATCACATACAACCAGGATCCCTGTACAATATTTAGCATTTTGGTGGGGAAAACTACCTAATCCATGTGACATTTGTAGGATAATTCAAGATACTTGGTTTTCAACTAATAAGAAGCCCCAAATGGATTTACTTTTAAAAGCCCATATCCCTGTGCACAGGAATTTATCCCTGACAAAGCTGAAAAAACTGTCTGTTGATGATGATGATGATGATAATAAGAAGAAGAATAAGCACTACACAGATCATACATACTGGAGTAAGAACCTAAAAGAAACCATCGGATTACAGATATTTGTGCACTTGAGTGCACACATCTTTTTAAATTAATCAAATTCCAGGAGATGAAGCCTTAGTTTCTTACTCATTCCTTTCAGTTTTTTTTCAATGTGTAAGACATTTAACTGCGCTCCTGAGGTGGTTGGTGAGTTGTAATTAAAATGAAACACCTACAGGCAGGTTTGCAATTTGAGAACTTAATTTATCCCATCAAACCTTAGAAAATTGCTGACCATGAGTCAAATGAAAAGATAGCCTAAACAGGTGATAGTTTATGCCTTTGTGTTTGCGTGCAGGATTCTCATCAACGTCGAGCCTCAGACTTGACAAGCATCTGTCACACATGTTTAAAAAAGCACCTGGCAGGGTCAAACAGAAGGAAGCATTTCACAATAATGTCTTTGACACCTCATTCACATTCCGCAGTGACACGTCCACAGCCTCTCTTTCAGTGGGCCTTTGGATAATGCCTAACAACATTGTAGAATTAGCACAAGTCAGCTGTCTGTTCCACACATCTTGTACAAAAATTGTATACTCCTGGAAAAAAATAACTTAGATGAGACTAATATGTCCCCTACTGTAAAACTCCTCTTGTTTAGCAATATCACTGCTGGTTGGTTCCAAATTCTGGGTATTCTTCAGGTCATCATTGCAAATGATAATATGTTCCCAATTGATTACTAAATAAAGGGTTGAGAAATCAGGATCTTCCTATTAAAGATTCCTTAATATCAGCTAAACATCCTGGGATAGATGAGAGTAGATGCAGGCTTTGTAAGAGCAGAGGTGGTAATCCCAGTGGCCTGGCTATAATCCCCTCTGGGTTTGCACAGCAAGCACAGCAATCTGGCCTCCCTAATGTTTGTTTTGCATTAATTCAGCAATTTCTTATTTCTCTGCCCAATCTGTTGTGCAGTGGGGCTGCTGGTGCAGGGTGGCTGCCTTGTGTCATCCAATGGAGTGCGAAGTGAATCTCCTCCTATAAGTGAAATGCTCGATGATGATGATGATGAGTATGATTATTATTTGTTATCCATCAATCCTTTTTGTATCTGCTTCATCCAATCAGTGTTACAGGGGACGGAGGAGGTGGAACCAGCCAGCCAACAGGTACAAGGAATGGTACACCCTGGACAGGACACCAGTCCGTCGCAGGAAAGGCACAGACAGACATACTCACTCTCACACCGGGGCCAGTTAACCTACCAGACTGTGGGAGGAACCCCACGCAAACACAGGGAGAACATACAGACTCCATACAAATAGCACCCCAGGAATTGAACCCAGGGCACTAGGGCTGTAAGGCAGCAATGCTAACCAGCATGCCACCCGTTATTATCTACTACTGACTGGTAATTTCCGTTTGCCTAAACACTGTAACTGCTGGTTTACTGCTAACAGAGTAGTTAGTGTTCCTTTACTGCCGAATCCCACTGAGTAGGACAGAACATAAAGGCCCTGAGATGTGAGGACGGGGAAACAACCCACAGTGCTTCCTTTCAGCTAAAGGACTGCTGCAGGAAAGTGGTTTTAAAGTACGGGCATCACCAGCCAAAGTCTGATGCCTCCTGATTGCTACACAGTAAAGCAAATTATTTGCTCAAGTAAAGCAATTAATACTTTGCAGGTGATATGCAGTCTACATAAATATTCAAAACCCGTAGTACTGAGTCCCTCTGAGACTGAGGCTTGTCATCCTTGTAGTACACAGCCATGGGATATGATAGCAATTACTCCAAAGCATGCCAGCCTGGATCTGGGCCAAACCAGTGATTCATGCAGCATTTTCTTCTTGCGCAATGCAGCTGGGGAAGAAAGTGAATGAGCCCTTCCAGGGCCTAGAGAGGAGGTGGACCGCTGGACTGACATGGTAACTGGGACCCGCCGAGGCACGCAGCCTGGCACTGGGGCAGGGAGGGACAGAGAGAGGCGGAGGTAACGCAGAGCTTCATCATGCGCGACGTTTGAGTGGACTGTCTGGATCTCCCCTGCGGCTGGTCCTCACATGCTCAGCACAAATATGGCAGGCCAGCAGTAACTGGGCTAATGGTTTCAGTTCACCTGCCACTAGAGGTCATTGGGCTCCATTGTGTGTAAACACGTGCACATGTGGTGCATTAGTTGATTAACAGCTTAACTGTGGAAAAGCCTGAGAGTCATATTCTCACACGGGTTTAATTTAGACTAAGTCAGGTATAAAATGGTGTTAGTTGGCTAAAGTAGCTTTTCATTTGTGTATATTACAGAGCCTTGGCAGAATCAAAACTTGTACAGTATTGCTCTTTGCATTGTGGTTTGTCCATGTGCTCAGGCTTTGTGAGCCACCTGCTGAGAGGTAGGCCTCTCACTGTGAGATTTTTCCCATCTGTTCTCAGCTCCCAAGCGGCTTGGGTGTCAAAACCTCAGTGCCAAGGAATCTTAGTGTTTCGGGCTGGGCTGCACTGCTCTTATTGTTCCCCACAGACCTCATTAAATAGCCATTACCGAAGGCTTTCGGAACAGAGCATAGTGGTTGAGAATAACACGACAGTGCACCTCTAATGGTAAGATTGTTCCACATATTCAAACCACAGGCCAGTTTAAGGCATAATGTGTTTGACCAACACCACCTAAAACGTAAAAGATGCACTTTTGGAATCTTTACCAAACCAAATTGAAAACAAAACATGGGATTTTAAACTCTCATCACATGTTTGGGGGAAGAAGTGCTAATGAGTCAACTAAGGAGATGCAATAGGAAAGAGAAGCTACTCACAGCCTCCAGAGCTTTCAGACCACTCTTGATGCTGTACACTTCCTTCTCCAGCTCAGCCAGGCTGCGGAGGAGCGAGGAGAGAGGTGGGGTTAGACTCCACACTCACACGTATGCAGAGAAAAAGATTCAGTCAATTCAGACACTCTGAAGGCACAAATAAGGCACACAACCATCCATTTATCTTTCATTGTGTAATATATTTTTTTGTCATTGGCTTTCATGATGTTTTGATAAAAAGGGTTTCTTCCCTGGTGATATTATTTAAAGGAAGATGAAAAGAAGTAGTGGGATTTGCTCATGTTCTGCCCCAGACAAGGAGTGTTCAGCAAACCCATCAACGCACTGTCCCGACTGGAATTCTAGAGGAACCCAAGCCTGCCCGTGTCTAGGGGTACTCACTTGACTTTGGCTGCCTCTGGGATGCTATTCAGGTCCTCGGGGATGTGGAGGATATCAGGGTAGTTCTTCTCAAAGATCATAATCAGGTAGTGCAACATGGTGATATTCCTGAAGGAGACACGCACACTGTTGGAGGGCACACAGGGGAGCTGTCCTCTCCTCACACCAAAGTTACAGAACGAAGAGCACAGACAAGCGCTGTGCAAGTTTTAAAAACACCCTTACAATCCATCCACATCAGAAAGCCAGGAGTTCATGGCAAGTGTAGTAGCAAAACAGAGCTGATGTTCGAAACAGGGCACATGCTGAGACTACGCCCCAGAGGGGACACCAGATGGATGGTGGGAGAAAACATGGTGAAAACTTATGCACATATAAAGTAAGAGAACATGCAGACTCTACATAGACAGAACCCTGGATCCAGGTGCCGATACTAATACCAAGCCACACTACTGTCCCGCCCTGAGTTTTTATCCAGTTCAATCCTTTCAATTTGAGCATCATCCACTTATGTAATGTAATCTAAAACGATCAGTGTTCTTCGTTTGATGGCCACCCAGCAACAAAATTCAAACAATCTGTTTTAAACGTTACCCCAAGAACAAGGACGTGAAATCTGAAAAACAGTTTTCCCGTTTCACTGCTGTGGGGTTAGTGGATCTGAAAAGCAGCCCCTCCCTGACAGCATGACAGATCAGCAGTGAGCTGAATGTGAGCAGCCACAACTGTGTGTGAAGACATGCGCTCTGCTGCTTCTGCTGCCTCCTTTCACAGCTCCCCTTGACTGTCTTCCAGAGCAGCAGCAGTTTTTCAAAGCCCCTGACACAGGCTCAGCGTGCTTCACGTTACTGCTGTGTAGCCTTCTGCTTCTGCTGCCCCGCTGCGCAGTACCCAGCTCACCAAAACCTCTGGGTACACCAGGGAGCTTTCACCACAAATACATTGTACTTCACTCTGCGTTCCTTTTTATACAGTACCACATTTATGAGCAAAGTCTCTTCTTCTGGGATCTCGGGATTCTTCTATGAATTAATTGTTGGTTGTCATTAAAAAATTAAATAAGTCACATACTGTACCTACACTGTCCTCATTGTGCCTCAGTACTCTGTTGTTGCTTTGTTAGGCAACAGAAACCTGTAATGTTCAGGTGTTTCTCTCCACCAATCAATTGTGCTAATTATATCATGTCTAGTAAGTTCTGTAACAGGAAACACTCATACAATTCTTACATACAGAAAGTGGCCATTCTCCTGCCCTGCATGTTCTTTCCTCCCCCCCAAGTAGGAATTTCCTGTTTCCAATAGTTCTCCTCAAATTGTATTCCCAGCTCCAAGAGGCTGACCTGTCTATGCTCGACTTGGTGTCAGCAATCTTGTTGAGGCTGGAGATCTTGAAGCCGTAGGCATTCCCCCTCTGGCCCTTATTCATGAAGTTCCCAAAGGCCAGCACCACTTCCAGCACCTGCGTCAGTCTCTTACTGTGCATGACCTCCCGGGAGGCTGACAGGATCGCTGCAGGACAGACCGACAGAGACCAAGACACTTATCCACAGATGGACGACCACACCGCCAAGAGGACACTCAGTAACAAGGGATATCTCCCAACATCTTTTTACATTGTATTGCGAATACGGCATACAACACAGGTCACAGATGAGAGCAGGCCATTCAGCCTATCTAGCCTGTTTGGCGGCTTCTGTAGCACTCAATTGATCCTAGGATCTCATGCAGCTGTTTCCTAAAGGAAGCCAGGGTATCAGCTTCAACAACATGGCTGTGCATCTGGTTCTACTCCCACCACCCTTTATGTAAAGGAATGCCTCCTTTCTTGTGGTTCTGTGGTCTTTCTCAGTGTTAATTCTCTGCCACTCTGATCCCTCTTGTGCCCTGTATGTCTTTGAGAGGACACTGGAGCACCTTGTGGAAAACCACACAAACACAGGGAGAACACACAAACTTCACACAGATAGCACCCCAAGAACTGAGCCCAGGGTTTCAGTGTTGCGAAGCAGCAATGCTAATCACTGCGCCACTCAGTCACCTGGCTCCCTGTCATCTTAAAGTGAATTCGTTTGCAAAGTCAGGCCTCACTGGAAATCATCTTCTGATAGTCTTCAAGGGAAACAAAAACAAAAACAAAGCACCCATTATATCATTTCACGACGTCAGATTTGTTCCCCCTTCCCCTCCTTAGTTAATAAAAAAATCGCTGGAAACTAAACAAAGCTCAAGTCTTTTTTCAAGGAAATGCCTTTGCCAGGGTGAAATGTGAACACGCCGGTGTGTCTGCAGACGCAGTGTCGCGAACGGGGCCTGAACCCTCATTCTAGTTACTGCTTTTTAGGTTTGCGCTGCGTTTCTCATCATGCTTCACATTTTTGAGGCAAGCGGTCTGATTACAGTGGGAGCGAGGGAGAGCAGACAACAGCGGTGTGTCCTTGTTCTGCGCCGCTCCAGAGGGGTGCCGCTTCCCAGAAGGAAGATTAGCTTGATGGTCTTCCAGAACAATAGGCAAAAAAAAAGAACGTTGTTGTTTTCAGTGAGAGTGGATGGTGGAGCGGACTTCTGGCAGCTTTTTCTGCAGTGAAGACCCTTATTCTGGTGCCAGCGGTAAGCCTGATAATCGTATCTCGAGTGTCAGCCATTTCTGATGCAGGAAAGGGATCTTATAGCTGAGGCTCCCGTTCGAACCTGGGCCTGAACCAGGAAGATCCTGCCAGACTGCGTGGGCGTTTTTTGTAATGTGAAAAAACATCCACTGGGGCTGAAGGCTGAGACTCATTTTACTTGCGGCCTTAGAAGGAATAAACCCCCAGGCTCCTGCTTGTTAACAACCTACTGCCAAAATCCGTGGAGGACGACGGGGGCCTTTAGTCACGACAGGCCCCTGGGCTTCTGTCGCCTTCGTCAACACAGCCGAAGACAGGCCAGCTTAGGAAAGCCTGTTGCCAGCCAGCTCTCATTTCACGGTGAAAGGTGAATGGATGTCCCGTTCCATCCAGTCCCCTTCAAAGCGTGAAAGAGTCCTCAGAGTGCTCCGCTCCAGAGCTGTCCTTGTTCCTCGCTCTGGTAGCTTGGAAAACAGCAGGCCGCTTGTGTTTCTTCCATGACCGGAGAATGCCCACGCCCTACCTCCCCCTGTCCCCCCCGCGCCCTGCTAATGCCCAGCTCTTGGATCAGGTCCCGGGCCTCAGATCTGCTCAGCACTGTTTAAGAAGAAAAGAAACTTTCCCGCCTCTTAACATTTGCCAGCTTTCCAAAACAGCTTCCCTGGTAACCCCATTCTTAATTTTTGCTGGAGTTTTCAGAAAGGGTGATATCATACACACACACACAAAGGAAATCCAAGCTGCATGTGAGGCATTCCAACAGAAGCATTAATTCCAGCCTTTTTTTCTCAGGCCACTTCTTACTCTGATGTGTAGAGATTTTGTGCAGATTCGCATTAACCCGTTGCAATGCTAGTTTAATTGCTTGTCTTTTTGCCTCCCTCCTCCTCATAACTGCACTTTGTTTTATATAAAATACGAGGACACAAGAAAGGTTACAGATGAGAATAAACCATTCAGACCCATTAGCCCATTTCCTAGTTACAGTAGTAGGTAACTGAGCCAAGGATCTTATTCAGCCATTTCTCAAAAATGTGTCACAAAATCAGCTTTAAAAACATGGGTCAGTGCCTTGTTCCATACTACCACAACTCTTTGTGTAAAGAAGTGCCTTCTGTCGAGTTTAGAGGATCCAGATGTTTCTTGAATGAAGCCAGGGTATCGACTTCTTCAAACAATATGATGGTTTTACCTACATCACAATTCACTGAAATGAGCCCTAAAAACTAAGATACAACTTTACAGTATATCTAGGACAGGAAAACAAAAGTATGATACAACGACTGGAGAAAAAAGTCATGAAAGAGAGAATGGGTTTTAATAATACGTTCCTAAGAAATTCAGTCTTTATAAATATTCCTGATTCTTCATCGCCGTTACAAAATGTGGAGGGTTAGAATCCTACCTTCCACTTTGGGCTTGGCTTCTGCCAGGCGCTCAGCGAACTTCTTCTTAAAGAAGAGGGCTTGTAGTCTCTGCTGGTAATGGTCAATCCTATTGGAAAAGTGAGAGGAGAGGATTGTGAGACAGTCAGTGGAGCCAACAGGTAAAGGAGCTACAGTATTTCACACCATTCTGTGTCCTGTTCTGTTTTCTAAGTTAATTTTCCCCAGCCCAGTCAGAAATCTGGAGAAATACTCATTTGAAATTCTAGAAGAGCAATCTTACAGGAGTGTGGGCAAAAGAGGAGCTCCCTCAAGCAGCACCAAGCTTGCTGCCCTGCAGGAAATGACAAGGCACTGGTAGATAAATGATAAAGATGTAATCAAATCACTTAATGTATTATCTCCTAATTTCTAAAAATCAATTCTGTGGGGACATCCCATGCACAAGTACTTAGAAGAAGATCTGTGGTTATTCTAGTGTTTCCTAATTTCCCAGAAATCCTCCCACGATCTTTAAAGTTCCGCCCAGATACATTTTTTCAGAATCAAAAATACAGTTTTCTTTTTTTCTTAAAGCTGTTGAATTTCTTGTCTTTCGTCAGGTGAAAACCACAGAAAGGACACATTCTTGCTCTGATTTTCCTGGGATGTCTGGCACAACAGCTGTGCAGCTTCTCGCGTTCTCCAACCCTCAATGAATCTCCAAGCCTTCTGATAAGCCTTCTCTCCCTGAGACTCTCCAGTCCCCCCCACCCCCACTCCCCAGCGTACCTGCTCATCTCGTACAGGAAGCGGTCAGCGCGGGCCATACGCTCGATCTCGTGCTTGTGCTCCTCCAGCAGGTCGATGTCACTCTTTTCAGGGATGAACTTCAACAGCTGCCGGGCGGACACAAGGGAGTTATCGTCACAGGCCGGGGAGTCAAGCATTGTAAGTACAGACCGTAGTACAAATGTACAGACGCCAAGCTTCCCCAGGTTAGTGGGATCGTCCACCTTTTACCTGGTTTTCAGCACATTGCAAACTATAGGCTTCTGCATGATCGTCTGTGTCAGACTCCACATGACACACAAAGATGAGCAGCCACTTACATAACAAATGAAACCAATCAAAAGAAGACCTGTCCATATGAATACTGATAGGAATCAATCAAGAGAAGACCATTCACATGAACATAAGAAAGGTTATAATCGAGAGGAGTCATTCAACGAACATAAGAAAGGATATAAAAGGGTATGTTCTTGTCTCTTCACACTGCGCTTGGCTGTGCTGGTTCGAATCGTCTTTGAGCCTATTCAGTACCTGTTCCAGCATATCCTTGGCCAGCTCCTCCTGCTCATCCATTTCCAAGATCGCTCGTTTGATCTCATCATTGGTCATCTTCAGTCTGCAGGGACAGCCCAGAGCAGGACAACATTAGCCAAACAAGTGCCAGGACTCCGACTGTCTCAGTTAACACCTTGTGGCAGTGTGGGCTGGACTGCATCATTCATCATCACAGAACCAGAAAGTGAAGGAATGTGATGCCATTCCCAGAACAGAAGGAGGACAAAAGTTACAGTTTTCCTGGAGTTCCTTTACTTCAAGGCTACTCTATGTTTAAAAAGGACAAACAGCCTTAAATCTGTAATTGTATTTGATAAAAGAAAATGTTTTTTTCTTCAATAACGCACTACATTAAAAATACTGTACAGTGTCCTTTTTTAGGGCAAGACGCAGTGTATCTTTCCATCCAGTGTCAGACCTGGACACAGAGCTCACATGTCCTGGTCTCCTGATTTAGTGAACAGCTGCTGGACGCCTCATTGCAGCACACAGAGTGCCTAATTCTTTCAGGGTGCCTCGTACTGTAACTACTGTATGTACAGAAGCAAGGCTTTTAAACCATGTCACCTGGCCCAAATTTTCTGCCATGTGCATTGTGGGCTTGGAAATCCTTTACTGTGATTAAATTAAAGTACCCTTTTCAGTGCAGTATCCGTATTTGTTCCAGCCTCTGGTAATAGGGTTTTTGGGTATTCTGAAAAGCTGTCCTCATTGAGTCAGTGAGTCAGCTAGCCTGAGGCTGCAGCAGAGAACATACTGACATATCCATCATCGACTGGGGTGCTGATCAATTCCAATTCATGTTATTCTAATCAATACATCCTTCGGTTCATGGCACAGCTTCATTGATTGGCCACTGACCTCAACACAGGGTCAGTCACCCCATAGTCAAGTAGCACTCAGAGAGCAGTGTTTAAAAGCACATTTTCTTCACCCTTGACAGCCAAACAACATCTGTGCAACTTCTGTATTGACACCTGCTAGAGACTGTTTTATTACTGCCTCACATGCAGCTTGGATTTCCTTTGTGTGTGTGTGTATGATATCACCCTTTCTGAAAACTCCAGCAAAAATTAAGAATCGGGTTACCAGGGAAGCTGTTTTGGAAAGCTGGCAAATCTTGGCACTTCAGTAATACACATTACTCATCTTAAAACTAAATAGATATTTGGCCCATCTAGCTCAATTAGTACTGTAGTTTAGTAGCTGACTAAATCTCAAACTTCATCCAGATGTTTCTTAATTGTGCCCAGTGTTTGGGCCTCAACTACCTGGCTGAGAAGCCTGTTCCAAACACCCACCACTCTTTGAATAAAAATAAGTTTCCTCTTCTCTATCCAAAATTAATTCCCTTTTAGTTTCCAATTATAATCCTGTGATCTTGTTTCACTACTGACTGTAAAAAGTGCCCTGCGTTAAACCCATCTATACCCATGCAAATCCACAGTGTTTCAGTGTTGCTACTGTAACTAGGGTCATTAAAATGCCCTGGGACAAAATAACTTCCTTTACATTTCAGCTTATCATACCAACACTGGCCAGTAATCACAGACTAATTATTGTTCTATCAATCTTTTCAATATATTTTAAAACATGTGCACCTCAGCTGAATCCTGTATTTTTTTTAATCATTTTATAAAGCCCTTTATTTCTCCTTTAATTTTCTTATGTTACGTTGAAGAACACCACAGTGCTCTGTTTAAGATAAGAGGTAAGATCTTAATAATAATCTTAATAGGCTGGCCATGCTAAAAGTAGTGGGGATTTCAGATAGAAAGAAAAATGAGTTCTTTTTAATGGGGACACCCTGCTGGTGGAGTGGCTGACCCCAGAGCTGCCTGTCACGAAGCCTACACGCTGCACTCCCGGCAGGGCTAAGGGGGGAGTGGAGTAGCATTCGCCCTAGACTTTCCCTGGACACTAGAAAGTCTAACTCGCATACGAGCTTCTCAGTTCTGTCTTTGGTCTGAGCTCTGTCTGTTTTTTACCACTGAGCACCGGATAGTTTTGAATTTACATGGGAAACACCTTAAGCTGCAAGAACCCCTTTTCACTCAGAGCCAATCTAATGTACAGAAAACCAGCAAGAAAACCTTTTCCTAGATCCTGGCCCGTATTAAATCAATACTTAGAGCCTTTAGACAATCTAAGGGTCCTGTCAGAGGTACGCACTTGGACAGCAGGATGACGCAGTTCTGGGCTCGCCGGCCATCGATGACGGACAGCTCCTTCACCTTACGGGTGGTCAGATACAGGTCATCCATGGAGCCTGATTCCTTCTGCAGAGGGTGACACACAAGACAGAGGGCAGTGAAGCACCACTGCACCAGGCGGCGGGATCCTGGCACAGCGGGCTCATGTATCTGCTGGATCGGAGGATGAATTCAGTCACACAATTAAGGGTTACAGTGGTGATCTACTCCTGTGCACGTTTACCCCAGCCAACCAGTCTGGCATTTCTGCACAATTCCCATGATGTCACCATGCACTTACTCATTTTGTCACCACGCTTTCTGGAGCTGTACTCTGTTCACCACAGAAGGTATTTTTCACAGTGCGGGAACTGAATAAAGGGACTGGTTTGTTACCGCACCTGCCCTATTCGGCACTCACTGGCAATACTGTGTGGACACTAGACTGCCAAAGCACAACCTGACTGAGAATGAACCAATTAACCAATCAAGTAATTCATACATTAATTAAGCAGTTAATAGCACTTTTCAACTCAAGGGCTCTCAAAGTGCTTTAGGTGTAGGAAGGGACCCACTTCATCCATAACTGAAGTGTAGCACTAACCTGGGTAACAGCAGACATGGTGTGCCAACAGCCCCACTGTACCCCAGATCAGGGGAAGGAGTGAGAAACTATGGTAGCAGGTGAATTAAGAGGGAACTGTACAGAGTTCTGTCTAGAGACTGTGGCGAGGGTGACTGTGCAAGACCAGAGTGGATTTTATCCAAGACACTGGAATTAACACTCCTCCTCTTATAGACAGTGCCATGGTACCACTACTGACCCAGTGGTCAGGTCCTTTCTTGGTTTAATATCTCATCCAAAGGATATTTCCTCCTCCAGCACAATGTCCAGTCACCATACTGGGTCATTGGTTTTGGAAATTATGATCCAGTAAGAAGAGCACCATCTACTGGTCCACCAACACCAATGACTTCCTCTGCCCTCAGGAACATTTGCACCTATCAATGCCTTACATTTCATTATTAACTTGTCTGACTGACTGTTCCTGTGGCACGGTGCTGATGTTACTTACAGCAGCTGGTCTTGGCAGTCTGAGCCCAGGTTGGAAAATAAACAACTAATCAAAGCAGAGCTGATTAAGACAGCAAGTGCAGACGCATCATGAGCATTTAGGCCCAGACTGCTTGAGCATTGAGATGAACTACTGTACACTGAACTGCAATGCACTCAAATTGGCATGACCTGTCATCCAGGCTAGGAAGAATCATCAGGCAATATGACCATAACTAGGTAAATGGGTTAATGCACTGATGTACTCTGCTGAAAAGGATTGTAAGTACTTATGAAATGCCTTCTGTGATGCTCTGTGCAAAAGCCTTTGCACAAATTGAATTTAAATTGACAGCATATACTGCTCCATTTTCTGTTACATACACTGCTTTATGAAAGTATTCAGACACTTGCACAGTTTCAACATTTTGGTGCTTCAAAGCTTTCAGTAATGACATTTTGAAGTAGTAAATAATGTCACTTACACAACATACTCCAAAATAAAACTGAAATAAGCAGATAACAAATATTAAATCAAAAAGGAAATGTCCTGACTCCATAAGTATTCAAACATTTTACAGAGCAATTCTAAATTAATTTATGTGCAGAAAATTAAATTATTGAGCCACACAGGCTGCTTCTGTGTGCAATAAAAGAAGTTCTTATGATTTTAGAATAAATACACCTGTCTCTGTAAGGTCAGCCAGACAAGTAGATTCAACCTTTTAAAGATCAAGGAGATCAAGAAGACTCTTAACATTTGTATAAGTCGATCATTAAGAAGTGGAAGGCACCCAGACACTGCCTGGATCAGCCTGTCTCTACACACTGAAAAGCAGGAGGAAACTGGTGAGGGACAACACTGTGAGGCCAACAGAGGCTTTGAAAGAGCTACAGAGTTCAGTGGCTGAGATGGGAGAAAATGTCCAGGAGTCAACAGTATTCTGGACACAAAGGTGAATTGTATGGAACTGAAAAAAAACTCTCAAATCAACAAAGCTCCAGTTCACTACAAACATGGTAAAAGATTTGGATGCAGATCCGACAGGATTTGATTTTTTTGGTCTGAATGCAAAGTATGATACAAACACAAACACAACACAGTGCATCACTCATTCAACACTGTCATTCAACATCCCTCCTGTCAAGCATGGTGGTGGCAGCAGTCTGTTCTAGTCCTGACTCTCATCAGCAGGCACTGGGAAGCTTGTCAAGACTGATGAGAACATACTGTAGGTGGAGCAAAGTACTGTACTGGCAAATACTAGAGGAAACCTGCTTCAGACATAAAACCGGGACAAGAATTCACCTTTCAGCAGAAAAATAATCCAACAAGCATAAGGCCAAATCCACCCCGGAGTGGTTTAAGGATAAGAAATTAAATGTCCTTGAGTGGCCCAGTCCAGACTCGAATCCTATGGAGAATCTGTGGAAAGACTTGAAAACTGTTGTCCATAAGCAGTTCCCAAGAACCTTGAGCAAATCTGCCAGTAGAATTGGAGTGAGTTATGCCAAGTCAGTGTGTACAGCTGGTAGAGATCTACCCAAAAAGACTTGAGGCTATATTGCTGGCAGAGCTGCTTCTACCAAATATTGTGTTCACAGGTTTGAATACTCATGCAATCAGCATGAAGTTTACTCTCTTTAGTTTTTGCTGACATATTTTGTACCTTATCTTGCCCTGAAGTCTTCAGTTTAAGCATTCAGGTTTTGAATGAAATGTTAAAATAAAAAGGATATGTGCACGATTCAGTAGCTTCACAAAATGGGACACCATAGGAAGGGTCTGAAAACTTCTGCAATGAACTACATATATATGTACTGTACAGTATATGTCATAGTTAACACACACAGTTGAAAACATCTGAAAATCTTTTCTAATATATGATATAAGAGGGTGTTTGTACATTAAATCAGTGAGGTCTTCTGGAATGAATTCAATATTTCTAAAGTCATTCTGTATCAGACTGCATTTCCATCATATTCATTTTGGTTGATTAAAATGCATGTTTGCACACACACTACTCAAAGTCAGGACTTTCCAGTCCTGGTTCTGCAGGGCCAGTGCATTTCCAGGTTTGCTAGGCATCTTTCACAGAGCAGCACTTGAACTGCTCGGAGAAGCTGTTCAATTTGGCCAATCAAGCCAGTAATCATCTGATTTAGCTCTTTAGGAGCTGAACTGGAATGAAACTCTCTGACCCTCCATGACCAGTATGGCACAGCCCTGCCCTGTGCACACAGCAGTAGCACACCCCCTGGGGGTGAACACACAGCAGGAGTACGCCCCCTGGGGGTGACCAGTGCACTTCGCTTCACTCACCTGCTTGAAGGAGGGGTTAGTGACCACGTCCTGCCCGGCAGCCGCAGGCGCAGAGAAGACAAAATTAAAACACATGCAGAAATTAATACCTTCAGCAGCCAAGACTATGAGAGCAGGAGATCAGATATCTACTCAACGCAGGCTGATTCCAGCCTCCTGACCAGCTCATGCAAACAAGGAGGCACTTTAACAGGGGATAGCTCGGGTGAGGCCAGCCACTCACCATGAAAAGCAAAATAAAATCATTTCTCTCTTCTCTGCAAGGGAGACATGCACTGAAATGCACTGGACAAGTTTCTTTTTTGAACTTGCCTAAACAGGCCATGTTTGTGGATGCCTAACTCTGGGACTGACTGTACAGTGAGAATCAGTATCAACAGCAGCAACAGAGTGCAGGGGTAGCAGCTCTTACATGTATTTTTGTACATCCCATTTATACCATTTCAGGATGCTGATTAAAGCTGGTTGCTACTTTATAGAAAAAAAAATATCTGTGCTCTGGAATCAACCAGATACATTCCAGCAATGTCCTACACTGACAGGCTGAAGGAACTGAGTCTCTTTAGTCTTGAACAGAGAAAACAGTGAGGAGAGCTGAAACATATTCAAACTCCTCAAGGACAGAATGAACTGTGAGGACACAGGTGGAAACATTTAAAAGGCGTATCTCTACCCAAAGAGTAACTGAAAGGGAGTCAGGGTAAGGAGGCTTGAGAAACAAGCTACCCAGGCATGTTGGTGAAGCTGATACACTGGCTGCTTTCAAGAAAAGGCTTGTTGGTATCCCTGCATCAGTTAGCTACTAAAAAAACAAACAAGATAAATGAGCCAAATGGCCTCTTCTTGTGTGTAACATATCCTCTGAAGTCCCAGCAGCCTAGTGACACAAAATAAATTTGTCAATGTGTGCTCTGGAGAACACTGGTCCTGTACAGAACAGTCCCTTGATTGCTGCTGATACAATTCTGGGAGCCAGTCAGGAGGCTGTGAGCCCAATTGCTCTACAGTTTCTACAGCATGCTTCAGCATGACAGCAACTGGGAAAGCCGCGACAGAAAGACACAGCTACTAATGCTAGCCATCAGCCAGGCTTTAGGCTAAAGGTTATATTCCATTCAAGTTTATCTCAAATTATATCACGGCCCAGTTTTCTACTGCTCTCAGAGGGCAGGGTTATAAAAATTGCTGATGTGCCTTCAAACAATGAAAGCAATTAGGACTGCAAGGCTTATTCAGAAGAAGAGGCAAGCGATCAGTTTTATCAAAGCCATTCTACTGTATATGTGAATTCCTTCTACAACTCCAAACAAGAGTCTGCTGTAGATGGCCTCACACCGTCCCCGGCTGCAGACACCTGTACCTGCTGTCTTGGGTAGGGGGAGTCAGACCCCTGTACCTGCTGTCTTGGGTAGGTGGGGAGAGATTCTTAGACCTGCCGTCTCAGAGATGCGGAGACAAGACTCCTAGACCTGCTGTCTCAGGGAGGCAGTGACAGACCCCAGTACCTGCTGTCTCTGGTAGGCTGAGAACATTTTCTCAATGTCCTTGAGATCCAGGACCTTGAAGGCTCGCATGTCGTCAATCCTGTGCCAGATAGTACCGCTGATCTTGTTCTGAAAGGAGAAAGAACAAGCCAGGAATCAGAGGACCTGCGGCAGAGTCCCACTCCACTCATTTCTCTTAGGACCCCTTCCTTATGATTTCCCCACCACATTGCCCACATTGTATAACATTAAATAATACAGTTACGTTGAGAATACATGACTAGCTTTTTTTAGTCACAGATAATTTGGTGGAAAAAATAGCAAAGCAGTTTAGGAAAGTGGTGGAAGCTCTCCAATGCAGAGGGAGCTGTGAAATGTGTCCCTAGGGTCTTTTAGATGAGCCAGGATCTGCTGTCCTCACAGTGGATCAGTGGTAAATGACCGAGAGGATCATGAAAGGATGAGCCATTGACCAATGGGACTGGACGGCCTCCAAACACTATCTGCTGCAGGTTCCAATAGCACGGTTCTCATCCAGATGGCAACAGCCAATTTTTCTTTTACACACAGCGAAGGTGATGTCACCCAACAACCTCGACTGTAACCTCTGGGTTTTGTTTCTTTCTCTTATTTTTAGAATCTCACTCTGAACTCTGACTTTGGCTGTCAACAAACCCATTGTGAGTGCCTGGGAATAAGGGAGAGAAGAGGTTGGGCTTCTGGACGGGAATGTTGTGGGCTCAAATCCCAGGGAGACACTGCTGTAGTACCCTTGCATAAAAAGTGCTTTACCCGAACTGTCCTGGTAAAGAAATGCTCACGGGCAGAGAGCGACAGTGAGCTCACCAGTCACAGTCTGATCTCCAGCAAACTGATGCCACAAAGATGCTGCTCTTTTGATAAACAGGGGATCTTCCTCAAGTGTTTTTTCTTCTTGGTTCTTATCAGGTGTGACATTCAAGAGGTTACATTGCCTCATCACCTGTCGTCAATTAGCTCCCTCCCCAATGAGGTGATTACAGTAGGTGCTTATGCAACTGTCCGAGCATATCATAGTCGATCTCGAATTAACAATTAATCAAAATGACATCAAGGAATTGTAATCAATATGCCAAATCAGTATACTGTACTTTATATTCTTAAAACACATGCACGCAAATTGATATTTTTCTTGATGCTCAGTGAGAAATAAAAGTGATAAAGTAAGTAATCAATTAAATTACAATAAATTATACCAATCCCGATCAGGTGAAACACAAAGACTTGTGACCTCTTTGAAAGGGTGGCTGATTTTTCCTGGACACAGGGCCAGTACATCCCTCTGTCCACTGCGTGACGAACTCACCTCGCTCAGCTTGGACCAGTTGAAGGACTTGAGGGGGTGTGAGGGCTGGGGGATGTTCTTGTTGTGAAGGATGCTGGTGGTCGTGCCCAGCGCTGGGGGGGCAGGTAGTACTGGGAAGCCGGGGGGCAGCGGGACCCCGGAGCAGAAGAAGGGAGGAGCTCCCGGAGGAGGGGGAGGGCCCCCTGGAGGCGGGGGGGGAGGAGGAGGCGGGGGCGGGCAGGAGAAAGGCAGGGGAGGCGGGGGAGGCGGGAAGTCGCCCATCAGGGGAGGGGGAGGAGGAGCCAAGGGGTCGCCAGGGGGAGGAGGAGGAGGAAAAGGAATACTGCCGCCCTGCTGGTGGAAAAGAGAGATGTGTTAATGAGTATGTCAGAGGTAACAAATCATCAGAGGTTATTCAACACAAAGGAGCTGAGCAGAAACCTAAAAACCTCAACAAAACGTGTGAGTGAAGCGATATGTGAAAAAGTATATTTTAATTATTTATTAGAAGAATATCCAAATGCAGTAGTGAGGCCATTTTAAATTGTGTGCAGGACAAACTCATAATGTTTTCTTGCAAAGGGATAAGAGGCACTGATGCCTCTACACAGGATAAATGATTAAGTAAATAAATACACGAATAGAAGGATAACTGCAAAGTCCGCAAATGAAGAAAGACACCCAGACTCATAAACGGGCAGAAGGTGCCATGCCGTGCCTGGTGTCCAGGCCCCCTCACCGACAGGTGGTTGATGCGGGAGGTCAGGTCCAGCATCTGCTCCCTGGTGGCCCGCAGCTCCACGCCCTCCCTCTGCAGCTTGTCCTTCATCTTGTTCAGTGTCCGCATCATGTCCTCCTTCTCCTGCGTCTTGGTTTCACACTCCCGCTCTTTCCTCTCCAGCCGGCCCAGGAGTTCTGCATGCTCTGAG